CTAAAGCGTAAAAGGTAGCAAAGTCGAGGGAGCATCGTTCCAATTCACACCATTTCCCAAAATAGGCATCCCGAGATCTTCGGTTCGCTATTAAGGTCTACGTCACAGCCGGCAGCCCCCAATTAAGGAAATGGCCTAGAACTCAAGCTCATCGAACCCATTGCCTAAAACAACAGAATTGTTCGGTTGCTTCCAACTCATTCGCCGGACAAATAACCTGTGTCCTCATATCCGTTCGCCCCTATCGCGTTGACTCATCCAAATGCGAACTGACCACAATAATTCCTTTTTAACCGCCGAAAAAAATGTTTGCAAATAAACGTCATCACTCACTCTTTGTGACTCTTTGGACTCTCTGTGACTCCAGGGGACATAAAAGATTTTGCCTTCCTTGTATAGACAGAAGAGTAGGTTCTCAGTCGGAGAAAGCAGTCTGACGACAGCAAAGTGCACAAACGGGTTATGTTTTATATCCGTTAGCCCAATGCGGCCGACCCGGATGTCCGATTTACAGCGTTGAGGGCGTATTTCGAGACTGTCTGTGTGACTAGTGTTCTGCCTGAGACTACCGATCAGGGCCGATAGAGATGAGGCGTTCTAGGCTGCTCTGAGGTAAATACTTTTGTAATACCCAACAGCCACCAAGTCAAGACAGTTCTCACCAGGACGATCATGATTGGCTGATAGCCACTTTGCGGGTCAGTGAGCATGGCGTGTGCGCTTGCGTGCTTACCTAAGAGCAACAGCAGCTGGGGACTAGATATAAGCCAAGAATTCATACTCACGGGTGGGTGGTAAAGTCTGGAAAATGTATGCATTACATTTTCTTTCCATAAACTTTCCACTCAACCTACTTGCGACTTTTGGTACGCCCGTATTTCGCTAGCAATATATATGATTTATATATCGATATACAGTAGTCGCCGCAAAAACGCACAGCATGCCGACATATGCGAAAGATTAATACTCTTTCGCTAATCGTCATTGACTCAGATTGTGATACTGATTATCGTGTAGTCTATTCTGAAGTCATTTTAGTTATGATAGGTTGCGGACTTTTTAACGAGCTTCGCTCTGACCAGTATATGGCAAATTAGGCCTTCTTTAAATGTTAGACTTAGAGCAAGTGTACCCTTCGGTTTTAAAATAGTCGCTAATTAAGAGCTTTTTTTACAATTGTGAGGCGTTTATTCGAAATACATCGTATCCGTTAATTTATTAATTCTGCCTCTACTGCATAAAACATGTTCCGCATCTATAGCAGTATTTTATGACAACTATTTGACTTCTGCCTCAAACTGTAGGCGAAAACGTACTTTTCCTTAAACAGGATGTACACAGTGCGCAGTTTCTAACCCTTAAATTTGAGTGTAGCAGTCAGTAGATTAGAAAATTATTCGGCAATTGAGAAGCGTTTTTAAAACCGAAAGATACCCTTTGTTTGAGCATAAAATTTAAAGATGGCGTAATTTTCTATCAAACAAGTATAAGAAATACAATAATTTTTGTTCATTGGCGTTTGATGACCTTTCCAAATAAAATATATATTTTTTGTGGAAGACATGCAGTGAAATCATCTTTCTTGTACTCATTTTTTAGGCTAATACTTTAAAAAAGGACACCTTTCGGTTGGCTTGCGTGATAATCAATATTAGAATGCCACTTAAGTATGTACTGTTACCCAAATTAGGCCCCCTTTCAGCACACATTGCACATCTGTGCAACTACAATGGCGGAAGCCTTAATTGTCAGCATATCAGAAAGTGCCAATTTGCTTGAAAAAAAACGAGACGACGAGAATTGTGTGAGGCTCAGGCTTTGCGACAGTTGGAATGTATGATTTTCTTAACAAAGGCTTATTTGTAATAAAAAAAATATATTTTCATGCTGTCACCCGTAGAGAAGTAGCACGCCCTGTCCCAACCGGCGGACGAACCGGATGTCAGATTTACAGCGTCACACTAACGCGTGGGGGCGAAAAACTGTCTGTCATTAGTGTTTTGACTGAGACTACCGATCAGGGCCGATAGAGATGATGCGGTCTAGGCTGCTCTGAGGTAAATACATTTTTAATACCCAACAGCCACCAAATCAAGATAGTTTTCACCAGGAGGATCATGATTGGCTGATGGCCACTTTGCGGGTCAGTGAGCATGGCGTGTGCAACAACGGCTGGGGATAAGATACAAGCCAACAATTCATACCTACAAGTCTGGAAAATGTACGCAGTTAAGTTCTTTTCCCAAAGTATTTCGTCTCAGTATACCTTAAAATCTAGCAATGCCCGTATTCCACTGCCCATGTATATGTCATATGACTGATGCCAGTCTAGCTTGGCTACCGGGCCTGAACGCTCGCCGGATGTCTTACAAATCACCCCTGATAAAGATTAGGACGCGCGTGAAATCATATTGCCATCTGTAAGTCTAGCAGGATACATGTCAGCTATTGATACAATTGTAGGAATATTTTAATAGAGCATACTATCCGCTGGTCTAAGTATGATTACTAGAATCAGCATTGTTAGCAGTGGCATATTACGTCAAGCTGCAGTATCCTACCCAAACTTAGTAAAAGGTGACAAAGCTTTTGGTTGACAATGCTGAGAGGGCCTCAAAAATGTATTTACTCGGAAGAGCATAAACCCAGATTCACAGTCCCTGTTGGGATCGAGGGGATATGAGTAGACGTTTTTTAAAGTCCAAGCTGCAGATGGAGACTGTAGTAGGCCTATAGGTAGTCTATAGACAGCAAACTTTACGACATAAAGGCATGGTAGGACTTGTGCTATTTTCAATAACGATTTATTGAACCCATAATCTAGTCAATTTACAGATTGGGAGTGCATACTGGGTGCTGACCTTTTACAAAGCACACACAGGCCGTATTATAGTATACTATTTACTGGCCGCAGTAAGCATGATTACAAGAATTAGCATCTTAGTATAGACACGTACTTCTAGCAGCACTATCGTGGTCTGAACCCAGTAGAAACGGACACAGGCTGATGGATAGAGTTGAGAGGGTGGAAACCAAGAAAAGCTCAGCTGTGCTTAGGGCTCCAAAGTTGGACTTACTGGGGATAATTTAAGCCCAGAGTCTTACCTCTCATTGGGATCAAGGGGTATGTGCCCCAGCGTTGACTTTCATCGGCGTCACCTCTGAAAAATATAAGTACCAGTCCTACTAAAGCCTAAAGCGTTCTTGATTATCGTTATTAAGATATTGCACAAAGCGTTAGGTCAATTTCCTTTGAATTTAAATACGGCCAAATTATTAAAATAAAATTGGGAAATGATGGTTTACTGACATAAAGCGTCGCAGTCAAGTAGCAAGACAGCATTGACATAAAGCTGACCAAGGTAAATGTTAAATGAAAGTTCATTCGGGGCCAGCTATATCCGGACTAGAACCAGGTTGCCGGATATTTTCATTTATACTTCAGATTGACCGAAAACCCCCGTTCCTTCTGACTAAAGCACAACCGATACAATCGCCCCCGTGCCCAACCTACACCACATCCCAAAACACGCGTCCCGAGATCTTTGGTTCGCCGAAAGGAGTACTTCACAGCCGGCGGCCACTGTTTTGGGAAACGGCCTAGAACTCAAGGTCATCGAACCACTTGCTTTAAACAAATTATCTGTTTGTTTGCTTCAAATATGGTTGCCGCAAAAAGATCTCTATCCTACCCTCTTTTCCGCCCGACTGCGCAGTGGCAACAATTTTTTCAAAAGCAATAACTACCGTAAAACAGGTTTATAAATATAAGTAATTTCTCACTTGGTCAGTGGGCTCTTTGTGACGCGGGTCAGTCCAGGAAACAAGAAAGATTTTGCCCTCCTTGTACGGGCAGAAGAAGTTTTCAGCCGGAGAAAGCAGTCTGATGGCAGCGAGGTGAACACTGGTGCTTTTATATCCGTTTTTAGTATTCACACCTTGATCCAATACAAAGGACCCGGATGTCAAATTACCGCGCCACAACAATGTTGCGCGTGGGGGCGGGCTTCTGTCGAGACTGTCTGTCTGCAAGACTAGTGTTGTGACTGTGACTACCGATCAGGCCAATAAAGCCGCGGTATAGGCCTCTTTGGAATTAATAATATTGTAAAACCCAACAGCCACAAACTCAAGACATTTTTTTTCCAGGAGGTTGGTGATTGGCTGATTACTGGTTAGTAAGCATGGCACGAGCAGGAGCAGCCGGGGACTAGATTCAAGCCAACTATGCACACGTGCAAAGACTGGTCAAGTCTGGAAAATAATCACGCAGAATTTCTTTTCCAAACCATTTATTATCTTTCTAATTTCAGATTTTGATTTTCCCCTATTTCGCTATCTATATATATAGGGCGTATACATATAAACATGCATTCACTTGCATTAATTAAAAAACACGTGAAATCTTCAGGTTTTCCGTTGACTTAAACACAAATTATTGGCGGACTTTTTTTCTAAATTCGAGTGTTCGTCAACCAACACCGCAGAACATTCTTGCCCCTTAATTATTGTCCTTAAAGCGATCAATAAGATTGCGCTCTCTGCCTGAAAACGTATGAGCTAAAAAGTACACAATTGTTGATTGTGTTAAGGTACACTAGATGCCTTATCTCATGAAAAAGGATTGACATACTGAAATATGTTTATTATCCGCATAAATTACTTAGGTATAGTTGTAGAAATTATCTCACAACTGCTATTTCAGTCACGGCAGGAAGCCAGCTTTCGAAGTATTTTTTTCTGTCCACCTACATAAAGTATATTCACAAAAATGATTAGTTAAGAAGTGTGGATTTTTTGCATTTAATTTTGTCGGTCTTGTAAATTCTAATACAAGGTGTCCCAAAAAATGTAAACACATTTTAACTAATTATTATTTTGGTGTTTATTATAATTTTTTTATTTCAAAAATGAAGAAATATTACCAAGCATCGTTTTATTGTTTTTTCATTGTATTTTGACTATTACAACAGTGTCAAAATTGAGAAAAGCCATTGAACATGAATGCAGCCGAATACCGACGAAATTATTTTGCGGTGTGTGCGATCCTTTTGTTTCGCGTTGCCAGCAGTGTCATGATCAAAATGGACGTCAGTATGAGAATAGTCAGCAAAAAAACAATAAAAGGATACGTCTAAATATTTGTACATTTTTAATAACAAAATTATGATTAACACCAATTTTGAAAGTGTGTAAAAGGTTATACATTTTTAGGACACTCTGTATATTTTATAGAAACATGCATCGAAGTTTTCTTTATTGTACTCATTTTGTAGGTTATTACGTACACCTCCGAGTCCGTTTTTTAAGAAAAGACACCTTTCACGTTTAAAAAGGTACCCTATTACGGGATTTTTTCCGCCCGTGAAATGTTTATTCAGAACATATCGTTTTAGTCAATTAAATAATGATATCCATAAGATATAGAACACGACCGACCTCCATTTTAAAATTGGATGAACATTGTATATACTCGTCCTAATTACATGGCGAACTGTGGCATTTACCTTAAACATAATCCATAGAGCATTTTAATGACTGGGAGGATTTTAAACCATTCAGCAATTTAGAAGCTTAATGAAAACCGAAAGACACTTCTTAGTGAAGCATAAAATTTGAAGACCTATTTGCCTTCAAAATGAGCAGAAGAAAGAACATTTAGGCGTAGTTTTTCTTGAAAATATATTTTAAGTAATAGAGCTATCAAAACTCAATGAAAAGAACTGCACACTACTTAAGGAGCCAATTGTTAAGAATATACATTTTTAGGTGGACGGAAAGAAGCTTGTTCAAAAGCAGGCAGCCTAACTTGGCTAGAATACCTTAATATTAATTCGGATGATAATCAATCTTATTACACTATTAAAGTACGTTGTTCTAATCGAAATCACATTACACAATTTTGGTTGATGTTTCATGAGATACGACAACCAATGTTGAGCTTGTTGTTGTAGCTTACTATTTT